TTTCTTCAGATTTGTTTACTGCCTGTCTTCAAACATAGCCCACTGACTAATAAGAAAGCAGATGAATTTGCTGAGCTGCAAGTTTTGGAATCTTACCATTAGTGGACTAAACTGACTAAGAAAACCTGATTCATTAACATAATCTTACAAAATATATAAACCAGGTCATTTCATTTTTAAGAGGGACACTATTATCAAAGATTCTCCCTCCGTACGAGGATTCGATATTATCCTTAGAAACTTAAATAGAAAGAAGTCCAGGTGGGTTATCATATCGAAATGTTTTCCATTTTTTTTCGATGGTACCATAACTTAATGAAAAAATAATTATTTCGGAATAGAGAAATATTCACCTCTGCAAGAAATTCCTCTGTTGTTAATTGTTCATCGTGGTATTAGCCAGAGAGGTAGCTGATTTCCTGTCGGAATTTGCCAGATCCTAGTGTGTAGAAATATGGGAGATGTATGTACCTCCCCTTCAAACAGTCGTTAGATTCATTCTGAGCCCTGATAGATGAGATTCTTCTTCACCGCTTAGGGCCATATTCATGAGATGGACCTGTTGAGATTTCATTGTAAACAGGAAGTTTTCGTATATGTCGTCTTGGTTGTATCCGTTCTGCACTGACAAGGAGTGATATTGGTATACGTCAAGGCTTAGTCCTGGGACCCCTACTATTCACTGTCTACATGAATAATGTTCATAATTTGCGGACAGTTGGAAAGTGCAGAATACTGGTTACGGGGAATTTCATGTCGTATTTTCATAAACTACACCTCACAAAGTTTGTGGAGATCAAATCGTGAGGTGTATTTTATGAAATTACTATTGATTTTCATCAAGTAACGGCCGAATCAATCAGAAAATCATGCCGTATTCATAGGAGTTTTTCTTTAGAAAAGAAAGTAATGAGAGTTCTTTCAAAAAGATAAAATGATACCTGTTCCAAAAATTTTCATATACCTGTGTTAGTCTTTTACACATTCACGAACAGAAATATGATCGCGATACCCAAGCTATAACACACGACTACCTTAATAGATCAAAAGATTTACTTAAGAGACATAGACTGCTTATGTCACATATCAGATAAAAGTTCTTTAAAATTGGAATTCATTCAAAACATTACCAGTACAAGTGGGAAACCTGAATCCTGGCAGTTTCATAACTGAAATTAAATCGGATTTGTTGACGTATTTTTGGATATGTGTCAGTTTGAATTTCAAATAAATTTAATTATTCAATGTAATGTAAAATGATGAATGAATTTATATTATTAAATGGACAAGAAGTATCCAAAATAATTTTTTGTGAGGAAGCATGCAAAACTATCTGTCAGATGTAATTCAATGTCCACCGTGGTATTAGCCGGGGAAATAGTTGATTCACAGTATGACTTGTCAGTTTCTACTATATAGGAACGATGAGAGAGGTGAAAATTCCAAAATATGTATTTATTTTCGTTCTAGCTATTAGTAGACTGTTTAAGAAATAAGGTTAATGTTCGTGGGCTACGTACACATTTTTTGTAGCTGAAAATAAAATGAAATTGATGAAATCAATTTTTCATTATATAGTATTGGTGAAGATGCATTTTTCATCAACACTGCCAACTAGAAAACGTAAGATGACAACTTCCCTTAAAAATTCTAATGACTACATTAAAATTTCTAATATATCGTTTCCTGGGTTCCACCCATCAAAACGTCTTCATGATAGTTCAACACATAAGGAAGTGAATTTTTATTGAAGGAAATAAAACAATTTCATAACAAGCGTAATCATCGATTTTATGAAGCAGGATAATATGCCATCAAATACCTATTAGTGTAGCAACTCAAATTTGACGATATAAATATAAAATAATATTACAATGGATATTCATTTCATTCAATAATTTTATGGTGTCACAGTGCATGTGTGTCATACAGTGCATGGTTTACCTATTTATTACTTGAAAGAAGAAACATGAAATTAGTTTTGGTGAGTTAACGATGGTTTAAGTGTTGAAAGTAAATTAACTGAAACCAATAATATTAACACCTATTTATATTTAAGTATATCGTTTGCTGAATACACTCATGCATTTTTTGGTTTTTACTGAGAAATTGATACAGTTAATAAGATCTCTCATAAAATCAAGAAAGAATATATGAATAACATCGACACAAAACAGACTTTATAGGCAAAAAAAAATTAAAAACATCCGAAGGGGCTCTTCGAAGCAAAGTAATAGAAAAATGTAAAGAGTATTTATGGAATCCAGTGATGAAAAGTTCAAAAGGCATTTTAATGAATGAAATATTGCTTGAAATATTCCTGGAATACATTAAATGAATAGGGACCACTCTCAAATATTATGATCAAACTACTCAGATAATAATAATAATAGCACTACTGAACCTTGGAAACAGTTTCAGAAGGCTAGCATTAAATATCACAGTAGATAATAAAAGAGGCGGATACTAAATTTTATTAACATTTATAAAAAATGTATCTGGAATGTATTGGCCTCATCAGACCATTTCATAAAAGTTTCCCCAAATGAAAATTATTATTTCAAACAATAATAAATTATAAATGTGTCCTTTTCATCCGTATTCGCATACATCTGCGATTTGAGAAAACCCCACAAGAAAAAGTCTAACAGGGTCAAATCACACGATATTGGTGGCCAGTTCTCGTCCGCTTCACGTGAGATGCAGATCTCTCGTGCAGAATATCTAATGTGGCATAAAATGTGTGTCACGTAGTGTAGTCTTTGTAGTCTTGTTGAAATCACATGTCATTGGTGTCCAGATCAACCAATTTAGGCCAAAAGGTGTTGGAAATCATCGACCTTTAGTGTTCGTATTTGACAGTGATGGTCTGGCCAACGTCGTTCTCAAAGAAATATAGCCTGATGACGCCGCCAGCCAAAATCCACACCAGCCAGTGACTTTTTCAGGATGCATTGGATGGTCTTGGATCTCATTTGGCCTGGTATCGTTCTAAATTCGACAATTTTGTTTGTTCACATATCCATTCATTCAGAAATGGGTCTCTTCGCTGAAGACGATTTTTCGATTAAAATTAGGGTCAGTTGCCAACTGCTCCAGAGCCCATTCACCGAAGACACATCGTTGTTTATGGTCGTTAACCTTTAGTTCCTGGGTCAGTTGAATTTTGTACGGGTGCAGGGCGAAACGCGCGTTACGTTGCCCGAACAGAATAGTCATCCGTCCATGATGATTTGGCAAAACAGACTGAATAAATGACAACTGATTTGACAGATTTAGCTCCAACAAGATGACCGTTATCAATTGTCAAAGTTCGGAAGTCATTGTTGGAAGACCCTAACCTAGTTCTTTATGAAGAGCTGACAGCATTCATGTATAAAACAGTTTACCTTTGCCAATCTCCGGTCAAGTAGGCTTTGTCATAGCCTTCCATATTGATGTTTTCAACACCCTCATTCACTGCAGTCATGTTATGGCTCTATGGTAAACCTGATACTAGGTACAGTTATTCTCTCAAGGCTTTCGAGAACATCATTCATGACTGGGAATGAGAAGGATCGATTTGATTGAAACTTCTCATTGGAAAATTGAGGCATTTTTTCTGATGTAATTCTCATCAACAAGCAAAATAAAATAATACTCGTCATATAGTTTTCAAGTTCCGTTAAGATAATTTTCGTCAGGAAAAATTTATGAAATATTGGAAGGTTTTTCTCGAAATACTAACTGTTATTGTGAGTTTTCCACGTTGCAGTTGAAAAAGCAATGGCGCAACCAGAAAAATAAATGCCAGAAGAGTAATAGTAATACTGATAAAAATATAATCTGTCATTAAGGAACATTCTAGAATTGATGGGAGGAGAATATTAAGTTAGGTAGTGTACCACTTAGAAATTAGAAACTATAATCTTATACTTATAGGTGATCTTATTCTCGTCATTCATATACTTTCATCATACGAGATGATAAATGTTTTAGGACTGATCTTTAACACCTCAGACAATTCACAGTGTTGGAAACTTTGACAGGTCGTTGTTTTTATGTAATATTTGTTGTTGTTTTTTAGTGGGCCGTATCAATATCTCGTACAGAATACAAGTTCATAATATCCCAGGTACTTATGAAGTTACTCGTGTTGTTGTGCTTACAAGAATCTTTTGTGTCATTTGTATGTCCGTAACAATTATATATATTTCCTTCATCTACAGAACTAAATCTTTAACCCTACCACTTTTCAGAACGATAAAGTCCACACCGGTAGAACTAATGAACAAATAAAATGAAATAAATTGCTGAGAAAGTTGCTGTTGTATTGAATATAACAAAATTGCTTTATAAAAGGCTGAGTTACCCTTTAATCATTACTACGAAATTAATACTACATACCACATGGTCTGAAAATATATTATATAAAATATCTATGATAACTACACAATTTTCACAAACATTTTTATTTCTAGACGCGTTTTACTAACACCAGTCATTTCCACCGAGGAAGCTACTGTGTTAGCGAAACGCGTCTAGAAATAAATTTGTTGTGTAAATTGTGAAATTATTACCATGGATATTGTTATTAATTTTCATCAAGTAACGGGCCAGTCTATTCATAATGTGAAGTATAGTTCATATGCTACATATTATACTAATTTTATTGGTATTTCATCTCAACTTATAGATTCAGTGGATCATAAATATTCAATGCTAGGTACTAAATATTTGACTTGAAATTGTTGGCGAAAACAAAAGTCTTTTCAGTTTCAAAGGGCTACTTTCATTCTATGCCAAAATAAATTGACGCGTATTCTAACGAAAAACTTGTTATTTCGACAGTTATTATTTTAATAACTCTCTTTAGAATGATCATTGATATGATATATAATATTGAAATACGAAATGTAATCATTTGCAAACATATAAATCATATGATTCTTGACATATAGAAACTAGTTTGTCCTCTTAAAAAGTATAGCATAATCTAAAGCCTCTGAAATTCCTTATAGGTTATGGTTGTCCTTGTCGTAGCTACAATAGTCCCCACTAATTGTACATTTAAGAAATGGAAAAAATTCTACAGCAACTTCGAACCGTTTTTCGACTACTTCAAGAAAAAGCCGCGGCACCACGGAAAAGTCTACCACAAAGAAGTGATCCACCACAAACAGATTCCTATCATAATTCCCGTAGGTCTGGGGCCTCACTTTGGATATGGCGGTCAGCACGGACCTGACTATGGACATGGAGGATACGTAGGAGGGGGACATGGGCACGGAGGACCTATTCTAATTGTTGGTCATGGACATGGAGGGATTGACCAAGGACATGGAGGGATTGGCCACGGATTTGGAGGACATGGAGTATTTGAAGGAGGCGATGGCTTAGGAGAACATTACGATTTTGAGGAGCATGAGGGATTTGGTCAAGAGGTTGGACATCACGGTTTTGGGCTGGAGGAGCAGCAAGGTCAATTTTATGTGAGCCAAGGTTTCGATCACCTTGGATACGGGCATGGTCATGAGTGAACTGAAGACACCGTCAGGTGTCTAAATATGACTAGGACTGTATATGAACCGTCAGGTGTTTTACTGATGAATAAGCTGTCTGTTGAACCTTTGAACACTGGTTTCATAGTCCTAAATGTGCAACTTCTGAATCACCTTTCTGTTTTGGAACAGTGAACATTAATATAAAATGACATGAAAATTGCTATATCTTTTGAAATACAACGTATATAAAACCTGATATTTCGAGGTCCTTTATAGCCCAGATCTCAAGTACCATTTCGCAACTTTTAACTTCACCAAAAATTATGACCGAAATATCAATCCATTCGTAATTTCGTCCCGAGTAATTTGAAATTTTTGCCGAGTTTTGCAAACAAATAGTATTGAAGTTGTAAACAATTCAATCAATAAAAAAATATGGGATATTCAATATTTGAAAAGATATCCTTTAATTGCAGAAAATTCACTACAAAAAGTACTACTTTCACAAACTGTAGCACTAATATCAACTGAAAGTACGGTTAAAAACGGTTGGTTCGACTCACATTGTTCGTGCGCTTCATCAGAAAAAATATTTTTACCCATTAAATATGAATATTGAGAAAGAAATGAGTACTTACTGAGTATTCAAATAAACGATAATCCGCCAGCAAAAAATTTTACAGCAATTTTTCTCTTAATCATGCATTCGATAATTAACAATTTCAATTTCAGGTCGAAGGATTACATAAAATCCTTGATAATTTTGAATTGAAACATGGAAATTTTCTCTTTTTTTTCCAAGCTATATGCAAGGCTATGAGAAAACATACTCGCTTAAACCAACCATCACATACTTAGTTATGTACAGTCTTTCAGAAATTCGGAACTGTATCACACGCTGTTCTGTATGTCGCCTAACTGAATAAATTTAATTCCACTTACCTCTTTTTTATACCTCTCTTGCTTCAAGAACTGTTGTAGCAAAACAATACAAACGGACAGACTATCATCCGTCTCCTGAAAAACACTGCAATGGTCAACAATTCCGAAAACGTCAAACAAACATCGCTTACTTTCAGTTTTTCCAGGAGAACAAAAAGCTTGTGCTCCATCGAAGCCATTCCTACCTTCTGTCGCGTGTGTCATCTGCATCTAGTTATCGATTATTCCGCAAATGAGAATAAAATTCATAAGCAGCATAATAACCACAACAATCGAGCATGCGATGTTACCATCACGAAAAAAATTCCGAACTTTCTTAATAGCAAATTAGACATTTAATCGATATTCGGGTTATTGGTTTGCAAGAGATAGAAAATGAAAACGCTTTAACAATACAGGGTGTCAATTTGAAAACTTCCCACCGCTAATAACATCCAGTAAATAATATGAAGAATCGAAAAAGCAGGTCAATGTTATTGTAAATGGGGACACTTTAAATGACTATTTGTAGCCCTCGTTGTTCAACCCCCTAGGAGGGGTAGATGTTACCCTTAGAATTTCAAATGGAAAGAGGTGTCAAGTGGCACATCATTTTGATTGGCGTTCAATTCTGCTTCCAATGATACCCTGACGTTAAATTTTTTTGATGATAGCGTTCTAAACTTACACATGTAGGTAATTAGAATTTTCCTATTCTGAGATGCATTCTCGTATTAACTTCTTTTGATAAAATGGTTAGAAGAATAGGTGCCACCATTCCAACCTTGAATGACTGGAATAAATGTATTACGCATGGGATTTTTTATTCGTTGGTTATTGTCTTTTTACATAAAATCTACTTACGCTGTTCGAAATGTCGTCCATTTTGCTCTAAACAGTAATAAAGTATGTTTTCGAACTCTCCTCTTACATTACGGAAAACTTCACTAGGAGTTGACTGACATGCTGCTGTAACTTGTCTTTTGATTTCTTCAGTATCAAAAGGTTGTGTTTTATAAACTACGGGTTTAGGATGCCTCCAAAGATAGAAATCTAAGGCTGTTAAATCAGGTGATCTCGGAGGCCTTTCAACTGCTTCCCTTCTACCAATCCATCTATCTGGAAATCTCTCGTTTAAGTCATGTCGGACGGAAAGAAAATAATGAGGTAGAGCACCGTCCTGCTGAAAATATTACAGATCCTCCTGCGAAAGTTCATTATCTTCTGCATCCATTTGACTTTCTAGCTCGTAAGAGGATAAGAGGATCGATAAGAGGATCGATAGTCTCTTCGAACATTTCTAGGTAGAGCTTGCCAGTCAAGTTTTCTTTTAGAAATAATGGAACAATAATGGCATTTCCAAGAATACCAGTCCAAACATTAACTTATTTTGTGGGTGTTGTGTATGCCCTTCTCGAAAAATATGTGGGTTTTCGTCACTCCAATAGCGACAATTTTGTCTATTAACATTGCCATTCAGAAAAAATGAGCACTCATCGCTGAAACAGATGTTTAACAGAAGATTAGGGATGGTATTGACTCGATTAGACATGATTTCACAAAACTCTATTCTTCTATGCTAATCATCCTCGTGGAGCTCTTGAAGAATCTGTATTTTATAGTGATGAAATTTTTGCATTTTCAATGTTTTTCCTACAGTCTCGAGTGACATTCCCGTCTGTTCTGATACTGATCGTGAGGAGCTCGTGGGCTCTGCAGCAAATGTTCCCAAATCTTCAATTTGAGCTGCTTCAATTAGTACTCTGGGGTTATTTCTTTTTGTATTTGTCACTGAACCAGTTTCGTGAAACTTATATTCACCAAATCAAGCACATATATACCGGTGACTTACATTACAATTTGGATGTCTTTTGTTGAAAAGACAGGCCGCCCTTCGTGCGGACTTTCCAACTTCTCCATAAACTACAATCATTTCAATTCTGTCTTGAAGAATGTAAACCATTTTCACACTTTTATACACTCATTAAAGTAGGTCATCACTAAACAGCCCAACAGATAAAACTGTATGCACAATACTAAAAACAGAAAGTAGCAAAAAAGGATAGCTCTCTGTACTCTTTCTGCGATGAGAATTAAAAAATCAGCATTTACTAAACACAACTTTACTATCATCTACATTTTACTATTAGAGTACTGATGTAAATTAATTGGAGCTAATGGCTAATGTTACCCCTAATGAAGGATTGGAACGGTACCATCTAATATTCTTGCCAGTTCTGGTCAAACCATGTATCTAAGTATAGGCGTAGGTACTAATTTTCGGAAAATGCTCATCAAAAAATAATATGTCAGGGTACCATTGGAAGCAGGATTGAACGCCAATCAAAATGATGTGCCATTCGACACCCCTTCCCATTTATAATTCTAAGGGTAACATCTACCCCTCCTAGGGGTTTTTTAGATTCCTCATATTGTTTACTGGAAGATATTAAGGGCGGGAAATTTTCAAATTGACACGTGGTGAATTATTATCTATTTCCTGTCTGGGGTAGACATTATCCTATCCAGTTGGTAGGTGACATATTTCGTAAACTGTCGCTGGACAGATTCAAGTGATTGAATGTGTGTAGTATATAAAGGTGACCAGATAATTCAGCTATATTCTAAACGGGATCAAACATGTTTTTGAAATCTCAGTTCGAATTGAAAAAACTGAAGGTATATTGAAAATTGCATTGTAACGTCAACAAGAGTTAGGTATTCGTAAAGTGAAAATAATGGAAAATGAGAGTCGTGAGAAAGCTGTGAGAACTGTGACAAAAAGTATATTATTCAGACTGAGCGAGCTATTAAAACTCGTTTCAAAGAACGATTTCGAAGACCAGAAAAGTCAAGTGTCGCTCAACGCGCTTTGGAGAACGGCCATAGGACAAATGAACATTGTTTAAAATAATTCAGATGCTTTCGAATGTCTGGAAATAGCAAAGTGTGGCACGACAATCATAACCAGACAAACGTTCAGTTCCAAACAGACTAGTTCACGTCGATTTATATGTGGGAGTATAGTATTTCCAATACCAATTGGAACAGCAAAGAGAAGGAATTCTCGCCTCGACATAGGCGTCGGCATATTATTTTTCAGTGGTAGTTTTTCAGTTACTTATTCTTACAATCATAGCAATTGATCACTCCATGAAAAAGTTATCCCAACTGAATTTTTCCACCATGGGTGATTAGGAAAACGAAATTTAAGGTAGTTGATTTCCGAGTCGAAAACTCTAAAATACAATGAAAATACAAATAATCACACCGAATTCTTGTCAAACATATATTTACAAAATAATAGAGGCCAACAAAATTGCTAGAAAAATCTAAATTCTTCTTCGCTATATTCGGGTGAGGTGGAATCATCATTGGGTTGAATAACGATCGGATTTATGGAACTTCGCACATAATATTTGTTCTCTTCTTTTATAACGTCGGCCATACAGTTCTTCCACACATCACTATTACCTCTACTTCATTCACCACTCGCCTTATATTGTCAAGCACTACAGCATTCAAAGTCGGTAACTGATTACATTGCCGCAATCTTTCTTTCAATGTGGCCCAAATCATTTCAATTGGATTGAACACATAATAGTATGGAGGCGAACGTAAGAGAATATGACCATGTGTTTTACACATCGAATCAATAATATACTCTTTTTTGAAATTACATTGTTTTATGGTCGCCAGTAATACCTTTTTCGTTGGAATCTTTTCGGATATTTCCACGTCATGATTTCGCATGAAATCAACAATATCTGCTTTTTTGTATTATTATTGTTTGGTATTGTAGCCAATAACCGCTGCCGAGGATGATACGAAGCGTTATCCATAACAATAACCGACATTGGAGGAATATTTGGGAGAAGCTGCTCACTGAACCAGGTTTCGAATAAAGCCGCAGTCATATCTTCATGGTAATCAGCAGACGAATCTTTTATATTTTTGGCCGACAGAAGCAAAGTACACATTATTGACTAATTGAATGCTGGTTATTTCTTAGTTTGTCCTTCATTACACTTTTAGCAGATTCTCTTTTATTTCACCTTTTTTATTTTTCAGATTGTAGAAAGTTGAAAACCAAAGAAAGTAGGTCGATTAGGTTAATTTACAAATTGAAAATGAAGATTGAAAGTTAAATGTTTGTGATAAGTGAGGGAAAAACACAACTTCCCCTCGCTCTGGACACATAAAAATTCAACATATTCAGTAAATAAAAAATTAACCCTGTAGAGGGTGGGACTAGGTGTGTCTAGAAACAAATATATCAATCTGCTGGATTTTTTTTGTGGAAGTTCCGATGCATCCTAAAATTGTTTCGCCTGCAAGGTCACTACATTGTGGAACAATTGGATGATCTGCATACCAACAAAACATACACACAAGACAGTAATAGCATATTTATTTGAAAATTATAATCTTTTTATTAACTCGAAATATTATAAGCTGGCGCATTACTCTGTTCGAAAAATAAGGTGAATTTTCATTTCTCTCAAAAAATACTCATTTATTCATCAGTTTCCATTTCGTCCCTCTCGAAGATGTCCCCCTCAGATATAATACACTTGTGTCAGTGTTTTCTCCAATCCTCAATGCGGTTCTGATATGTCTTATCGATTTTCATCTACTCAATCGTCGCAAACCGCGTCGTTTCATGGGTATCTTCAATCTTGGGAACAAAAAGAAGTCGCAGGGGCCAAATCTGGTGAATACGGTGGCTGAGACATGATAACGGTGTTGATTTTGGTCAAAAAATTACGAACAAGCAATGACGAGTGAGCACAATACCGGACGTTCGAAACTCCTTATTGACCGTACGACCATGTGACAAGAACTCCTGATGCATAACGTCATGGTAATCGAAGAAGACAGTGAGCAAAACCTTGGCATTAACTGCCGATATGAGAATTGCCGTTGACTTCATTTAGCAATTTCTGAGCAATGCTCATTCGACGATTTTTTTGGTCAAAATTCAGCAATTTTGAAACGAACTTCGCTGCCATACGCTTCAAGTCTAAAATTTCCGAAAAATTTGCATGGCATGAGCAAACCGATATGCCGACACCCTTAGCAACTTCTCTAATACTGATTCCACGATTTTTCACAACAATTCTCATCACTTTTCCAACATTTTCACCGATTGTTGATGTGCTGGGGCGTCCAAGGCGAGCGTCGTCATTCACATCTTCTCGACCTTCTGTGAAAAGCCACTTGTAACATTTTTCTGACTCAGAGTACAATTACCGTACGCCACTATCAACATATCAAGTGCTTTTGAGCACTCAATTCATTTTTTTACACAACATTTTTTGCAAAATGATACATTTTTTTCGATAGCAGATAATCAACGAACATTCAAAACACTTCTAACTTATATGCCTCTCACCAACAAACTAAACATGCTCGAGACAAGTGTACAAACATAAGAAAATTACTAATCGAATGTACGTAGCCCGTGAAATTTGAACATTTGCCTTATTTTTTGAACAGCCCATGTACAAGGGAAATAATTACCACTCTTGAACACATTTGGTTTTACACTATCATACTTTAAATCTATGAATTCCTTATTCAAATATACTGAAAGTCAAAGCAGTGTTATTATTTACCTCTCCAGGATGAAAAGCCACTGATCATAAAACCAAAATATACTCATTTTCTCAATCTTTATACTATGGTACAGTTATGTACATTTAATGATTTCGTGTTTCTGCTCACAGAGACCTCTCTTTTCTGAATATAGACTACTAAACGAAATTACAAATAAAATAGCTTTTATATTTGAATAAGAGAGGTCATCAGTTAGCAGTGAAACACAAAATTCTGATAAATTAAAAATTCTGAAATAATTATAGCTCACAATATTTTCATGTGAAGTTTCAATTGTATTGGTTGATAATGCTGGCGCGCCCTCCCGAATGTATCGGGGCTTCGGGGGATAGGGCCTGATCAGCGCACACTACGTTTTAAAAAATTATAATAATAATTACACACCCCACATTTCAGCAATATTTATTATAAAATTCACTCACCTGCTTGTCAATAGCTCTAAACTGCCAGGACCAATTGGCCCTGTATAAAAACGGTCGCAGATCAAATCTGTTGTCTTCAGGACTGTATGATTCTGCATGGTAGGATGGAGTTAAAACTGTCGTTTTGTGCCTGTTGATGGCGTAGCATCTGAAATTGTGAATAACATTTCTGACCCATCTTTTACTATCGCAAAATTATTTGAATGTGAAGTGACATATTATGGGAAGCAAAAAATAATAAAGTAACATTTTTTTAGCAATATACGTTTTTCAAATATCCTATGAGATGTTTGGCATAGTTTCTTTTTGCTAGAATAAAACATACAAGAGTACACACCAAACATATATGACACACGGTTTTGAGTTGGTAATGTTTTGCCAAGTTTGAATACTTGTGTGAACTTTGAAATATGGGGAGTGAAAATCTCTGTGGGTTGTATTCATCATCAGCTTGGCAACCTGGGTCAGATTCTGTAATAACCTTGTGGTGACCATCCTGGCTCATCCTGTATATGTATTTCTATACCTGTCGATATATTTTCTTATAAAAAACAAAGTAGCATAAGGTTGCCATAATAAGGAAAGTCGGGTTGTAAAATTGATTATTTAAAAAACAACATTTTTATTAAAAGTATTTTGAATTTCTTGGATTTGTCATATCTATGCAGACGGCATTAAACCATCGACAAAGAAAGTTGAATCAATTTTGAAGTATGATAAACCAAAAGATCTGGCTTCTTCAAGACGGTTTCTAGGTATGGTAAACTTTTCTAGAATGGCAATACCAAAAGCTGCATAAATTCAGGCACCATTAAATAATTTCCAAAAGGGAAACCCAAAGAAACATCAGATGTTGAAATGGTCAGAACAAAATAGGGCATTTGATACATTAAAACAAGCTTTAGCGAATGCTGCTTTACTTGTTCACCCAACAGATTCACCTATAGCACTAATGGTGGATGCTTCTGATTTTTCTATTGGAGCAGTGATACAACAGAAAAAGGATGATAATTGGATGCTTTTAGGATTTATCTCCAAAAAACTCACAGTGCAACAAAAGAAATATAGCGCCTATGATCGTGAACATTTTCGATATATGTTAGAAGGAAATGATTTGCCTTCAAAAAGAAATCCGAGAATTGTAGTCCTCAGCAAACCAGATATTTGGATTTTATTAGTCAGTTTACCACTGAGATCAAACATATATCTGGTAAAAACAATACTGTTGCTGATGCTTTATTCAGAGTGAGTACCATCGATTTTATGAAGAATGTTGACTTTTCAGAATGGAAGTCAAATCAAAATAAAGATAAGGAGCTGCAGAAATTACTAACGGAACCTGAAGACACATATCTAAAACTCAAGGAATGTAAACTTCCCTATGGTGAAGATTCCATTTTTTTGTGACACTTCACAAAAGCTTGTCCGACCTTATGTACCTGAAGCATTCAGAAGAAAAATATTCAATATAATGCATGATTTGTCTCATCCCGGAATTAGAGCTACCACTAAATTGATAAGCGAGAGATATGTTTGGTCAAATATGAAGAAAGACATTAAAAAATGGACTCAGTGCTGTATTCAATGTCAAAAATCCAAAATTAGTAAACATGTGGTAAGTCCAGTAGGTGTTTATGAGGTACCTAAAAGTCGTTTCGAACATGTTAATATCAACTTGGTTGGACCACTTCCTCCATCAAATGGATATACGTCTTGTTTAACTTGCATAGATAGATATTCAAGATAGCCTGAAGCTTTTCCTAGAAGCAATATAACTGCAGAAACGGTGGCCAAGAAATTTTCTGAAGGATGGATTTCTCGATTTGGAGTTCTGTTAAGAATAACGACCGACCAAGGAAGACAATTTGAATCTTCACTTCTCAAAGAATTCTCAAAATTGCTGGGTATGCAGCATATAAGAACGACAGCTTACCACCCATCGGCTAATGGAATGATTGAGAGATTTCATCGCACAATGAAGGCAGCACTGAAGTGCCATGAATCAGAAAAGTGGACAGACCTTCTTCCTACAATTTTACTGGGAATCAGGGTTTCAGTAAATGAACAATTGCAGTGTTCAAGTGCTGCATTGGTGTATGGAACAACCCTCAGGATCCTAGGAGAACTTATAATAAAAAGGACTGTTCCTTTCACTACTTATCAACAGTTTCTTCAAAATCTTAGAGAAAACATGATAAAAATGAGAGCAACGCCTGGAACTAATCACGATAAACAAAAAGTATTCTTGCAAAACGAAATATCAACTTGTTCCCATGTGTTCATTAGAGTTGACACTGTTAAAAAAGCCCTTCAAACACCTTATAATGGACCATTCAGGGTGATTAACAGAAACGAGAAATATTTCACTCTATTAGTCAATGGAAAACATAAAAATATTAGTATTGACCGTTTGAAACCAGCTTTTGTTGAAGAATACGAGGGAGAAAGAACATGTGAAACACAAAAGATATAGAGAAGCACCAAAAAAATTGTTCATTTTGAGTGACCATCTTCACCGGAGGGGGAGTAGCATAAGGTTGCTATAATAAGAAAAGTAAGGTTGCAAAAATGGTTTTTTAAAAAACAACATTTTTAATAAAAGTATTTTGAGTTGTTCTAAGCAAGAATTAATTCCATAACCTTATTGTGTTGTACTATTTGTACTGTCATGTTGGATAACGTTATTATTATGCCTGTTTTTAGTTATTTATATTGAATGAAATTGAAATTGTAAAATTTTAGTTTTGGTGAAGAGATCCACTATAGAAAAATAGTTTACAAATACTGCATGGAAACACCATGCTCATGCCGAAAAAGGCATTTTTAAACGTGCACACCAAAAGCACACTTGAGAGTCAACCACAGAAAGCGTTTTGAGATTATATAAAATTCAAAGTAATTATTTTGAGATTCAAGTGAGAATTTTACAGTACATACATTTTTGTTCAGAAGAAACAAGTGAGGAGCCTATTGAACGTTTAAAGAATTTCAACCATTTTCATTATCACAATAGGAATAATTTGCGAGAAATTTGAACAAAAGGATCAAAGATAAAATTTGGAGTGGCAGAATTTTCGGTTTGATTTCATTAACAATTCACTTGAGATTTGTAAATTTTCCTCCAAATTGAAAACCAATATGACAGCGCCTATAGAAAAAAAAAAGGAATAAAATGAAAAAGTCACATTTCGCCCAATACTCCCTGGGTAAAATTTCATAGGAAGTAGTGTATCAACAACAGCTTCCACATTTGAATAATGATGAATTACTTTTTCTTTCAAACATTTCTGATAAACAGATCAACAGTAATAATATGAAAATTGCAAGGTATAGGTTAACGTGAAAATTGTAGTGGTAGTTTTTCCCAATCTGTTTACTTCATCACCCATAACTGTACAGTTTGGTGTACCAAAATAGTTCACTCGGATGTCTTTCTTACCTGAAAAAATGTTTCACCTTTTCGGCAACCTGCTTTGGAGTCAAGGTATTTGACCACGTCTGTACCAACTTGCAATACATTGAATATGGACCGCAGCTTTCAATCTTCCTCAAACGGCCAAACTGACTGAGTTCTTCATACGTCATTCCCATGTCTTCTTCGTCAGTTTGAGCTAATTTACCCTGTTTGAGAGGTTCCAATTCTGCAGTGGGTGGAGCGTCGATTATTTCTTTGAGAATATTGATCTTGAATTTTTCTTGTGCATAGATCATGAACCTGGAAGTTTGGGTTGTTTTTACTGTTCAAATAAATATGTCAAAATTATACACAATATTTCGAGGGATTATACATGTAAAGTTGACTTGTATGGAATACAAACTCCTACTAACCTTTTCAAATCAGTTTTCGAAATGCCTCCTATAGGATTGACATCTGCACTAGAACAATCATATTTCGTCAGATATCCTCTCAGGGTTTCGTCAACGTTTGAAGACCCCAAAACTAGAAGCCCACCTGGCCTGCCTCTTGTCCAGAGCATGAGCTGTGCAAAAAGGTATGACAGCACCATTCTTATTCTGGCTTGGATGTTCTGGAGAGCAAGGTTTTGCCTGGGACAGCCACCTTTTGCTGCAAATTTGGGAAGCATGCCGGTTATTTGACTGAAGATATCCACGCAAGCCGAGACGGCTTTGTCTATCATAATGCTCATGTGAAAGCTAAAAAAAAATGTAAGAGTTCATTTATAGACTGTTCCAAAAATAAAAACCTTGTTTGGATTCTCAAAATATAATCATCTACTACAAAATAATTGAAGTAAGGAAATATATTTATTTGATTACGACTCTATCAATTTATTTACAAATAATTATATGTATATAGATGTAATTGAAAATAAAATCAATAAAATACTTTGATGAAGGGAGAATATTTGGTTTTTGAATGAGGTCTTTCACAATTTGAAGAATAACCCAAAATTAGTATAATGTATCACATGAAATAACCAAGTGGAATAAACATCATCAAAAACAAATAAACTGGTAGAAAGTTTGCTGGTCACAGCTTTATGATCAGACCAGCTCAATCTGGTCCTGAAATTTTAATGCCCTTAATGTTAGGATTGGACGATGCTGAATAAATTGATATAGATAAAAAATAATAGTGGACCAAAAATGGGACCCTGTAGAACACCGCGATTCATTTCATTGATATCTAACTTTAGACCAACATATTGATATCTATTTGTAAGATGAGATTGGTCGAGCTTGAGAGCTGCCCGAACACAGTAGCAACTCATTTTTTCAAATGCCTTTGTCAGAGCTCACAGCGTCAAAGAAAAATTCTTTTCCAGATTAAGACCTATGACTATGACCAACACTAGTTTTTAGGTATTTTGAGTAGTTATATAGTACAAGATACTAGTATTTTGGAAAACAAGTCTTAAAATATTTTCCCGTTTTTCATTCACTGGAATAGCAGACATTTTGAAATTTACTAAATGGAAATATATTTAAGAAATGACACACAATAATTAAGAGAAAAACTCAAAGAACATAAGTTTCAAAAATGATGTTATTTTTTTCCAGAAACAGAAACACATTGAACTGCACATAATGAAGAAAACTCACCTTCCTATGGAATTTGCTAAGTGATCTGCTCTTGTTCTGGTTTCTTTAGAAGAATTTTCTGACGCCATGTAACAAGTAACTAGGAACCTATTGCAAAGCTCCTGAGGACTCTTTGGAATGTATTCTGGGTCTCCTACTATCCTTCTCAAGTCAGACAATAACTTTTGATCTACAAATTAACGATACACTATTAGAAACAAAAATCATACTTTCTCAAATAAATATATTTTCTATATTTTTCTTCTACAGAGTTCCCACCCAGCTACTGTCCACCCTTTTGAATGTGTTTTCACTCAGAATCTCTTTTTCCATACCTTACCTCCTCCTTGGTGTACAGCATTCATGATGAGGGTGCACATGGAAAAAACTATGACAGCAGTACTGGAAGAATCCACACCACCACTCAGAGGCAAGAAAAAACCCCCTTGTCCAGATCGTCTGAGGTAATCCCATAACCAACAAGCAGGACCCTAAAGAAAAGAAAAAGACTGATGTCAGCAAGTGAGCCTGCCTAAGGAAAGACACAGCAGATGCCAAGTACTGAAGCAGAGCTTTATCTGTATGTAACCTTGAAATTATGTTCAATGAAACTTTGATTTTTAAAATTAGAAGTGAGAAATAACTCATTATTATGCCTGTTTTTAGTTATTTATATTGAATAATCCCATAACTATAAACTTTTTTTATTTAAAATCACGTGACTGGAACGTGACAAGGGGGCCGAGGGGTTAGGTGGGGTACCAAGAAGGCCTGAGCGGTGATGTGGAGTACCAGTTGGATGCCTGGCTGTCTGTCTCGCTCCGGCTGTCTGTCTGGCTCAATCGGGGCCGCTTCTACTTCCAGTTATTATCTGAAAGAAACTTCTGTACATGATATAGATATCTCTTCGAAGAGTTTTGTTGATATATTAAATTTTTTCTTCATTATCTTTGAAAGTCTTCAATAAATTTTCCTTAGCTTGCACAAAGTTTCTCAACTTCTGAGAGTTGTCCTTCGTATGGGGGCGACAGCTGAATAACGGAGAAACAGATTTTAAACAGAATTATCATTATTATATCTATGTCAACAGTATTAAATGTTTTGAATGACTCTCTTTTATGAATGACTATTAGCATACTCATTTTCAAGTAAATGAGTAAATAAATCAAATAACTCACAATTGATCATAATCATGTAAAAATGCTTGTACATATTTCAGGCATTTTATGATTGGCAACAGTGACATTTGACATATAATATTAAGAAGATAACTGTATTTATAATTGAAAAACTTTTAATTTTATCACTTTAATGAAATAATTCAGTAATTATACAACATCTAGATTTAGTGCTTGTGAAACTGTTAATGTTCATTTTATGACGAGTATGGCAACCAACTTGGTAGTTGGAAGTGTGGCGTATCATACTGTAGTAACAACTATGAAAAATTACCATTTCCTAGATTTCCATTATCATAGTATTAAACAATATCAACTTCGTGTGCAAGAAATCACAGTAATTACACATCTTCCTGTTGATATTATATGTCAAATATCAGTTTTGTCAATCATGAAAAGCCGAAAACTAACTCAAACATGTACTACCATTTTTTATGTAAATATGGTTAATTCAAAATATTGTTTTATAAAACAACGTTCACATCCTTTCTGTATAGAATATTTTTTCAAAATCGGATTCCATTTAACAAAATCAATTAAAATAATGAATAAATCTGTTATAGAAACATTTGAATGCCTTCAAAGTATCGTAGCGAAAACGCAACATTGGGGTCTGCAGTGAAATTATAGTCCTAAGCAAAATTCCTGTTGAACCCTGCCAATTCCACTTCATTTTTATTTGTCTCAAGAAAATTTTAAATTTTAAAGACACTTCCAAACCTTAACCCAAATAACTAAAGATATATGACAGAATAATTTGTAGTCCTGGGAATATAATCGAGGTTGACAATGCATGTTTCAACACTTTATTCGTTTTTACAAATATTGCTAACAAAAACTTTGACAACAATTTCTATAACTTTTGAGATCAAGTGATTTGATCAAATTTGCGAAATCAGTAAGTTACTTTGAAATAAAACATAGTACAGTTATGATGAATTTCACTGTGACAAATTGTTCTGTTGAGTTGAGTTCTGAGATAATTTAGCCATTCAGACATACATTTGAATTTTATTAGTTCGGACTTCAACTGTCTAATATGATTCTACTATGATTCTAAGTCTATGAAAGAACAAATAAAATAAGAATGAATAGCTAAAATATAAATTATATTAAGCAATAAAACGTGAAATGAAAATATAATAAAACGGATAGAACAATCAAGATACACAAAGAAAATGACCACAGAGTAAAAATAAATAAAAAAGAATAAAAATGGGTAACACATCAAAAATAAATTTAAAAATTAAAAAAGATTCCAAACCAAGTTACTTCACAATGTATCGATCGTCTTCGGGTTATGACTGGACTTGACTGGACTATCAGAGAGATGACTATTTATATAGGTCATTCACCGGTTCAGCGGGAGTTGACCGTTTGGCGAGAGTTGACCGTTTTCCGCTTGATTAAAGGTTTCCATATGTTGCGTATCTCTACGCTACCTTGGCTGAATGCATCGTTGTACAACATATGTGCAGCTTCTTTGAACTTCCTCGTAAACCAGTGTTCCTCGCTGTGGAATAGCATGTCCCAACATGCTCTGCTATTCCCGATTTGTTGGTTTCTCCTCGCTGTGTAATTATTTTATTCGTTTTATTGTATTTTCATTTCACGTTTTACTGATCAATATAATTGATATCTTAGATATTCATTCTAATTTTATTTTTTCTTTCATAGATTTCGAATCATTGTAGAATTATATTAGACAATGCCGAACTAATAAAATTCACCATAAAACAGTGTCAACCACTTTTGAACAAACATACATTTCAGTTCAATAATTTTAGTTCGTCAATGAAAAACAATCCACCACAATAAAATAATTTTTTTAGATTAGTTGACTAAAATAAGTAGATCAACAAACCTCACAAAAACTTTGATTAGTACAAAAAAGCTGACTTCAGAGGTTTACATTTTTATTTGACACTCATTTATTTACTTGCCACGTGCTTTCAATTATGTGAATCATATTTTTTTACTTGAGAGCTTGAATATCATGGCCTACAAGGGTACCACTGAATGTATTGTACTCATATCCAAGTAATCAATATATGCAATAAGAATATTTAAAAAAATAAAATGCACCGCCAATAACATATTATATTTTCCATTCAACTCTCAAGTATCGAATTCAGAGCTGGAGAACAGCATAATGAACACATCTAAACAGAGTATTTATTGGTCAAGCTATAACCTTTATTAAACCTGATGTAAACGTTATTTAAAGACCTAAAAATTATTAATCTATATTCAGCTATTACATTTGAAAATCTTCTAAATACTAAAGAAAACTCAAATATAGCACTCACATAGACAAGCATCAATATAATACATAAAATCAAGGAATCAAATAGATTGAGGGTTATATACTTTACTGTTTTTCTATTTCCAAAGTTAACTCACAAAAAATTCAAAAGCAATCTTTTGAAATAATTATATGGAATAGAGATTTGTTTGAAGTGATTGGGCAAATATGACTGATATGATAATATACCATAAACACTCTAACTTGAGAATATAATTTATGTTAACAATAACACAATTTCAGCTTGTTTTGTACTTGTACAAGAAATGTTGAGAATCAAAATATTAATATACCTCTATTCAAAAAAAGCCATACCCAAAGAACACTTTTCTACTTTGGACCCAAGCTATATAATGCAATACCTCTAGATATAAAGCAAACACGAATTTTTAGAAATTACAAAATGCTCGTTAAGAAATTTATTGAAACAAATAGTTCCTTAGTGATATACTCATTGCAAAACATGTAAATACTTGTCTTCCCTTCAATTTTTCGAAACAAATAACTACTAACGAAATATCCAATCTCCAATAATATATGTCAACCTGTAGACACTAATCATCAATTGTTTAAATACTAACACAAATGTATTGTTGTGATCTGTCGGAAAACTTATATAAAAACTAATATGTATACCATGACGAAGTAGGAATAGAGCACAAAACAAGCCATACTGCGCTTAGGTGACTATTTCTGCTTTGAAAAGATAATATTGTATTGAAATTGTGATGTAAATGTTTTTGAAGATGAATAAAATCTGAATCTGACTTCAAATGTTTACAGGCCTTTGACACGGTGAACTGTGAAAAATTCTTGAATAAATGAAAAACTATGGGTTTGGTTGTTGAATTTACCTTATCATATCTAGTAAATTGGTCAAGAGCTGTATATTATAAGGCAATATAAAAAACCATTATATAGAAAAATAGTTTCTTCCATAACTGCGAAAAAGAATGTAAGTCATTAACTAATCAAGTCCCCAGAACCAAGAACGTTTACTTACAATTAGTTTCTAGAATTTTCTCATAATTCAATTTTGATGGATGTACTATTTCATAAACTTAACCTTACGATTTGATCTCCACAAACTTTATTTTAAAAAAATATCACATGTTTCATTAACACAGTAGCTTTTTCGTAGTGAATTACATACTCAATTACGTACAAAAAAGCTGCTGTCTCAGCGAAACATGTGATATTTTTTTATAAATGGAGTTTGAGGAGATCAAATCATAAGGTGTAGTTTATGAAATTACTATTGATCTTCACATAACGGCCGAATCAATAAGAAAAAGAAGCATATACCATTATTTCACCTCATTACTCACTTGAGCTATTTCTTCTTCTGGCGTCAAAAATGCCCATTCAATAGGCAAAGCAGAAGGCAAAGTTGTATCATATTCTGGAGACAAAGAAAAATCAACTAAAATCCTTGGATAACTCTTGCTAGAAGATGCTAAAAGAGCATTTGATCTTCGCATATTCCTATATGATCGAATATCTTCTAAATCAATGGTAGCAGCTACAACTTCCTAAAAATTTGTGAGTATATATCAGGCAAGTACAAAAATCAATTTTGTTTGACTCACCACTTCTGCTAGAGCGAATTGCTGCGCTCTAGTCAGCATATGTCCATTCAAAGCAATACAAGACACTCCATCAAAATATACCCTCTGCCCGTCACATCCTCTGAGATTGCTGTAAACGTAGCAACCGCCACACTTCATAGTGGCATTTTTCACCAAATCAACCATAACATAACCTTTGCGTAACTCACTGTGACTTCCAGAGCCATTACAAATGATTTCAACTCCGTCAAGACTCAAGGGAATGTGAGAGCTGCTAGAACACCAAAGTTCTTCACAAATTTCGAATCCTTGAAGAGTCATCAAAATTTAGAAGGTATATTTTTTGCAAATGTATCAAATGAGTGTATACAATTTTCAGTTTAGTTTTACCCTTTACTCACCAATACAAGTATCCAGTGTAGAAATAACACCGTCTCCAATGGGAACCAACTTTTGACCTGTTATTGTTGAAATCATTCTTGGCAAATGGAAATCTTCAATCTGCCTTTCCTATTGAAAAATATAATTTTTTGAGTTCACTCTTGAAAAAAAATTGACAAAAGTTATAAATAAAAGAAATGCCCTTCGAAATGCAATTTCTATACTAGTTCCCACCATCCACAATAGAGATCAACAACAGGAAAACAATACATCAATTGATTGTTTTCATTCTATTAAAAAATATTCTGGTGAGGAGTAAGAACGTAAATCCTTATGTAGGACCTGAACCAGCAGGAATCGAGGTCAGAATAGTTACATATCTACTCACTGTACACTGTTTATTGGGAGGATATCTGAATAAAATAGGGCTGTCATGCTCTGAGTGAATGTTAAAGGTACTGAATTACAGGAGGCAAGCAATTTTTGAACAATCCAACAAAGAACTGTACACAGTTATTTCACTTAAGTCAGCAACTTTGGTGTCTCAGTTTGGTTTTTTTCATTAATGATCTTTCTAATATCACTATCACCCATATCATTTTTATTTTGACAAATTTGAACAAGGATACCTCTATTATCTAGATACCATTTGATTGTATCGGTAGATGGTCGGTTCGATAAGGGTGCTTTTTTCACTCAATCAATCAATCAATCAATCAATCGCCGTGTTAGTCGGTGGTTCGAGCCGCAGGATGAACGATCGATTTTCACTTACTATCGTCCAACCCGGGTTAGGAATCACACATTGAAAGGTAAGACCTCGTTAGTCCTTAGCTCGTACAAGTTTCGACTTCTGAGGGTTGTTGTTCGTAGGGGTGCGACAGCTGGTTAACGGAAAACATATTTTTAAACATATATTTTAATCCATTTTACTTCTTGAGAAATCACAAGCTTTTTTCCTCCTTTGTTGAACACGAACAAGGCATGAAGACTTAAAATTCAAAATGGATACAGTGGGGATTCCCCTGCTGTTTATGCAAGCAACAATTTTTCTTTTCTTTCCAACTTTTCAATTTTCTTTCAAGAACAAATTTTTTTTTCAAGTTGGTGCACTCTAAATTTCACCTGTTTGATTGTTAGCAGAAGCTTCATCTCACTTGACTCAATACTATTTCTAAATTTAATCCTTATGGTTTTAATTTCATCTTTAGCTTTTCTTTCTTAACCTCCTAATGCCAGCTCGAATATTGAAACATCAGATAATGGGCCTGACTGACAAATCGTTTGAAGAAAAGGAATGAATAATAATGTAAGTGAAGATTGGCTTACCTTTTTCCAACTAGTGAACCATCTGCTTTCTCTATAATTTCCACTATCGCAAAGAACCATTTTTGGTCTAATGAGAAGGATTTTTTTGTTCAAAAATATGACACGGCAGTTGTAAGATACATTTTTGTGCATTACTGGCATTCCAACGTCAACCAAGATATCTTTACATAGTGGGGCTGTTAATAGTTCAGCTAAAACTTCCCAGGAGTGTAGGAAAGTATCGCTTTCATAAAAATGGTCTTCACAACTATATCCACTGAAGAGAAGGAAAGTTGGTCAGTTTATTAAAATGATATGGAAAAATACTGTACCATATTTCCAGTTCGGGCCCAGTTCTGAAGGTTGCACCAAGTTCTTTAGCTTCTAAAATTGACTGCAAAATTCTGTCCAGGTTACCTTCGAAATCCAGAGCCCATTGATTCAGAGTTGAGGCTGCAATTGTTACTTTTCGGCCCATGATTTTATTTTGATTTCAGCTGAAAATGAAATATGATTATATTGCTGGATCATTTGTTTTTGATAAGATATGAAAACGCCTACACTAACACATCAAGAAAACGGAGACGGCAGTTATTTTAATTCTTAATTGGACACAAAATGTATTACATGTTCAATTTACGATAAGATAATATAAAAGCCGTAAACATAATCGTAACCACAATTTGACTATAACCAATCAATGAACCACGAACAAGAATGAACCAATAATAATTAGCGTAACAAATCGCTAATTGAACTCAGGATTGCAACGTGAAAAAAAGTCATATCTAGATGCGACGTCTATCAAAAATATTGGAACCAAGTTAAACGGTAAGGACCCGTCTGCTCCTTTGCACTAAAAAAATCATTATTGAACATTTCAAAATTCAGCAAACTCTGAAACATTGAACATGTGTTTTATATTCAACTGTATAAGGCACCTGTTTTCATATTAATCAATGTCATTTTCTTGTGAAGGACTATCATTTTCAACCACATATTCGATGTATGGGCTTAAAAAACGAGAGTCAAATAAAATAGCAATATAACCTCATTGTATGTTGACGTATAAAATTTTGCGGAAATCGCAAACAAGTTCATTTTTTTCAACTTTTTTACGATAAACATGACGCCATTTTGAATCGCACTTTTTATGCGATGTTCGTTCCAACATGAACTAACCCTAACAATATAAATACTGAATGGAGCCGCTAGATGACACTACCAGTAAAACAGGTAATATGTTTTTCGCAGTCTTTCAGAACCCCCACTCAAAAAATACAATATTATCTACTCAGACCATGGGCGTTGCGAGTTACGGGCAGGGAGGAGTAGGTGCCTTCTTTAGATGATATATTGTTCGCTGGTAAACTGTGATTCTGACGAGCTTCATAGCTTGCGATGCTTCTTATAAGACCTAAAAAACTAACAGGCTTGAAGGCTAGCTTGTGAAATCTAACAATACGAGATATTTCTAATATAACTTTTTTTCAAACATCAGTTCTCATTCTGAAAAATGTCACTCATAACGACAAGGGTAGCGTAGTTTTTGAGTTATATAAAAATGAATGGTAAAACGTTTAGTTGCAACACAAAAGAACTTTCAAAAAGTAGTGAACAACCCTAACTGAAATAGACATAGGACCTTATCTGGTGGGCGAGATGTGGGGTGACAGGGAAGGCAACTGATCACCCAATGTTATGCATCGAAATATTGAGTGTCGTTGTTGTGTGTGTTGTTTTTTTAAAATTGTTATTTTTTAAGAGTAAGTAATTAAATCACTACGTATAAACAGAAATGTATTAAATAACTGCTGAGAAATGATTTGCTAATGTAGAGTGAGAAATAAAATGAGTCCCTGCTGGGCTAGCCGTAGTGCGGGCCAAGCAACCCAATAAATGTGATATTGTTTTTCTAGTGTCCGCGTGTAGGTATTGTTCCTGACCATGTGGTAGTGAGAGATAGTCCGCGCCACGTAAAACGTCCTACAAAGTTGGCGCTAGTTTCTGCGTATTTATTTCTTCTTTAATATCGTTTACTACACTGGTACTACTTCAGTTCATATCAAAGCCGTGGGACTTCTTTTTTGGCACCACTATCTCTAAGCAGGAGTGAACAGTGGCATACATGCGCCAGTTACAAAAAATATGAAGTTGCGTAACGGTTTTTTAATTTTATTGCTAATAACTACTATATCAGTATTCATTATATTCATTGCATTGATAGCCAAATATTTTTGTTGCCAATGCATTGCAATCGAAGACTATCGATGGTGCACATCGACAGTCTTCGATTCATATCAGGAGAATTATTTCTGTCATTGAAGATTATCGCGTAACGCAGACAGGAAAAATTAGAATATTTTAGATATTTCACATAGAACAGCAGCTTGGAGCGAACCAATCCTGGAACATTCTGCCAGAAGTCTATGAATCTTTTTCCATCCAGGTGTTTAATCTTGATTTGGCAAAGCATAAAGCGATGCCAATGACAGGTTCTGATCCGATGAAACTGCTTGCAACACCCTCCTTTGCAAGAGAGTTAGCAGCATCATTGCCTTCTAGGCCAGTTTGGCCTGGAATCCAGACCAGAGACAATCTTTCAAGTCTTCCTATCGAGGAGAGTCGTTTTTGGCAATTTGCTACCAATTTAGACGTTGCTCGGTAGGAGCCAAGAGCTTCCAACGCCGCTTGACTGTCCGAGAATATTTTTATTGACTTGTGTATGAGGTTGGATTCTTCCAAGGTGTTTTTTCATCCATCTGTGAACCAACAACTATCTGCTCTCAATATTTCCTTCTCCCACTACATATAGTGTTATGATTGTCAAATATGTGTCCTTTCTTTTTATAATAAACACACATGGCTCTGAATTTGACATTTTATATCCTAAATCTAACAAAATTTAATATATTCTTTCATTTCAAAAGCTTCAGTAGCCGGCTTTAAATCATATATGACACGATTCAATTTTGAAAATTAATTTTTATCTACACCAATGTTCAGCAACAAAAGCCATCACGCTGCTTGAATTGTTTCTTTCAAGTGACCACTGGTAAAAAGTATCTAGTGGATATCAGCAAACTCAATAGACTAATCATTCTTGTGAATCCTGTGTCAGCAATGATTTTTTCCAAATTTCATTACTTGGTGTTTCCTTGATGAATGCACATTCGTACAGCTTTTGCTTTGTGTGACATTCCATTTTTATACTTTTCATTTTATATCGTTTATGAGACAATCTAAACACAAACAAACCCTTTTCACTTTTTGCCAATTTGAAACAGGGCCGTCGCCAAGGGGGGAACCTCCCCCATGCTTTTTCGACTTGGGAAAAGTTGGGAAAAAGTTGGGAAATTTTGGGCCGTGAAGATAGAAAAAAATAATAGTAAAAAAATGAATGAAAATTAAAAAAATAAAAATGAGAGAAAAGAAAGGGAGAGGTAATAAGAAAAGGGAAAGAACCGGGAGAAGATTGGGATTTGCCAACATGCATAACTTGGAGATCCCATACTTTGAAATTCTGAGTTGTTTGAAAACTTCAAAAGAGTTTAATTTCTCCCAAGTAAGAGAACAGTCCTGAACAGTCCACGAATTTCGAAGTGACAATTTCACAAAATTCCCAACTTTTCGCTGTTTTTTAGACTTGGAAAAGTTGTGAAATTTTGGGCCGTGAAAATAGAAAAAATAATAGGAGAAAACATTAAGCACAATATTATTCAAGTGTTGTTTCCTTTCATATGTATTGAATATTCCTATACATGATGGATATGGTGGAAGTCCAAGGACCTTGGTTCAAAGTAGAATAATTCCCATTATTATTTTTATAATTACCAAAATTTATTTTTGTTTGTGCATACCCTAACGGGCATAAGAATCAGCCAATCTTTGGATAGCTACGTAAGAAAATCAATATATTATAGTAGTAACTAATCCCTCGGCTTTAGTTTTTTCGAAAGTTGGGAAATTTTGCTGGTGGGGTTGGGAAAATTAGGATTCCTTCCCCCCCCCCCGGTATTTATTTTCGATATGGCCCTGATTTGAATGATCTTTGAATGATACATAGCTGGTCTTGAATGAATTCTATGAATATAAATATTTTTTTTATTAGGTTGGAAGGTTTGAATACCTGGATTCAGCCATCTAAGTATTATTCGTGACCAAACGATGTCAATAATATATAAATATTCCGCAATAAAGCACATTTTGCCTAACATTGTTCTAGGAATAATTCTCATTCTTCTATTTTGTAGGTACCGTGTGAAGCTGTGATATTTTTTCGTCATTGAAACACTCATACAATTATCTAATTCCAAATGAGGTAAATTTTTGCTTCATCATAGTCCGTAAGCGTTCACGAAATGTGGGCCTAATGGTCTGATGATGAACTGGTACAATAACACAATTCAGGCTCAACATTTTTGCAGAGATGACCTGGATATTATATTTTCTAATCTGCAGATCGAACTAAGTTACAATATTTTTGAGTAACCCCTAAAAACATTTTTTGTAACGAAAATATAACATATAACCTGTTATATGAAAATGGGAAAAACATTTACTAAAAATTAATTTTATTGTAGAAAATGAAGCATGATAGCTTGCATTTTTAGAATATATGAATTTGGATGCATTATAATTTGGTTATAACAAAATATACAATTTTTATGTGTAGATCTTCGATTTATCTGGTTTATCATACTTTTCTCTCAACTGGATCATAACAATTATATAGGCTGTTACTATATTAATTATTCTCAGAATTGTACTTCTGCGTATAACAAATAGATTGGCAGCTGTGAATCGAGGGTAGTAACTTTTAACAATTTTTGACAGTTTGAAAAGCTCCTCTCTGGATCTTGAATCTATGTGCAATCTTTCCTGAAGCTCGTAACAGTCTCTTTGAATATTCCCACCGGCTGACGAAGCTGCATCGCAAGATAAAATTATAAGCATGGACCCGGCCTGAAACAAAGTAACGGTGTTATTAGAGAAACAGATTTTAACAGATGTTTCCAACAGTTTCAGGATTCATGCAGTATCAAGGTTAGATAAGGATTTAATGCAGAAAAATAATTGCGAGTGACTTTTTACATTTCCTGTATTTCGTTTATTGGACAACCGATAAATTTCACTCCAAAAAATATACAGAAAAAACTAAAATTGAAAATAATTCATCTTTCAAATGTATTGAAAAATGCTTTTCAATATTTGATCAGAAAAAAAACGAGTTTCCACGTTAACGGCAATGTACCTGCCTAGGTTATTTTGATTATTTACAGAGCACTTGACTAAATATTATGTTTTTATACAATTTGTTCAATAGTTTTATCAGGCCCATATTCTGGCCAATTTTAGTGGAAAAACTCAGTTTTCAAGGTATTTTCACTTTCTACAATCTGGTAAATAACATAATTATGGTGAACTTCAGAAAAAAAGTAACTTCAATAAGTTACTGCCTAAAGCCAAAATATTTGTTCCATTTTCTTTGCCTATTACATAAATTTCTAAGAATACACTCATCAAATGAGAGCGATATTTTTCTCAAGTATATCTATACACTAACTTACAAAGGTGAGCTAGGAATGAATCTTTTTACACCTATAACCTCTATAGTGTCCGACCGAAACCGAAAACGAATTTCGGCAACGGTCTCAGTTTCGGCTGAAACCGACTTCCTTACAAAAATTGTGTTTTTAGGGAGAAATAAAAAAAATGTTATTATAATCAGTCAGTCTTTATTTTTTTATCTTTATATCACAACGTTATGCAGTTTTCAACATTTTTACTTTACGATAATCAACATAACAAACCCTTGTTTAAGAAAAAATATTAATTGCATCTTAAAAATATCTAAAATAGGTGGGGGTGTTTATTTTAGTAGATGTAGATCCTTCATTTGAATATTATTGACGGTTATTCAAAAATATTAAACATAAAATTGTTGTTACCTAATAT